GATGGATAGAGAATTAGAAACTCGATTCAGTTATATCGAAGTGCCTGAGGAATTTTTGACACTTTTGACCAAAAGGGCGAAATTTCAGACAAAAAAATCAGACATTTAGGTGCAAGGTTAGGCCAACGTTTCATGTCCGTCACGTACTCATTTTTCCGGAACAAGATAACCATTGTTTTCCTAGGAAGAACATCAAACCAATAATAAATAGTAGAACATTGTCCGAATCCTCAACTTAATTGATGTGATTTGTAGCTACGTCTCATATGCAAAATTCAAATTTTCATACAATGGCTCGCTGATTCAAAGCCGACCGGAATCCCGTATGCTATTCAAATGATTTCAACAGATGATTGACTTATCTGAAGCCATATCTGAAATTTACATGGAATCCTTACGGGTTCTGATGGGTTTCCCATGATGAAACTGCTTTTTTCAACTATGAACTGTTCGAATCATTGAAGTAAAGAACGAAAGGGATTTTTGCGTGAAACAGCCCTCAGCAAACTCATCGGCGCGTACTCGAAACAAATCACATTAGTCGGGTGGCAATCGAATTAAGATGAGAAAGTCCAACTATAAACAAAATTACTGTCAAGTAATGGTACATTAGGCGTGCTCTAAACTAGTTAACGAGGTTCATGCCCGGATGCCTTTGCAGTTCGGCCCCTGCACATGAAAATATCAGACTTCCCTGTTTAATCCGATTAATATCGATTACGGAATTGGAGAATGGCCCTAAGAAACCCCCCGGGGTGAATTTGTTCAATTTGTTTTCTGCAACTAAACTTCGTCTTGATCGGAATCAACGCCCAGTTGTATGTGGCGAAATTCGAAAAATGTGAAAAAAATGTGGTGCTAAGTGGATCATATCCGCATCCTGTTGTTCATGTGCCGTTTCATATTTCACCCGAGAAGGAAAAATCCGAGTCGGGGAGGTAAGAAATGCATATCGGCATTCTTCAGATTGCGCAACTTAATGGGTTTGGTGTGTTTATGCTCGAACGAGTGCCCTCACATGCAGTTGCACTCGCTGATTAATTTCACTCAAATGCGAAATTAGGCACTATTAAGATAATGCTGGATAATTAATGGAGCCCCCGGTTCTGTTAATTGGCTCGATTTCATGCGATTTCCTATGGCATTGATTAGAGCGCAATTGTATCATTAGTAGTAGATGTTTGATAATTAACCTGATTTTAAAACGCCCGAAGTGACACTTATATTTTTTGCATGTCCTCTGGGGTTTTTAGTCATTAATCAGTCATCAGTTAAATTTACAGACTCAAGGCTCAGATCACAATTAGTTCGCAAGATAAACGCCAGGCAAATTAGGGGACACGCCATGTGAGCCACCTTGTATGTGTTTTTGTGGTTAGTTTCTACACTATGCTCCTCAAAGCTTAAAAGTTAAAATTATGTCCCTTCTCTAGATCTTCTCGTCTTCAAAAACAGTTGGTTCAAATGTTGTTGGTGCAGACAGACAATTTTCCGGTCGCACTCTCCTTCAACATCTCCCCTTTAAAGAGGCTCGTGTATCATTACCAGCTTTTCTCATTGTACCGGGATGTCCCGAAGTGATATCATTGTTTACCTGTGGAGTATCAAAAGACATTTTCGCTTCCATTGTGCCCTCAGACCCGTTTTTGGCTTAAGCCGAGATTGTGCTTTTTGTGCTCAAACCTCGAGTACGTTTTATTCGGCAATTATCCTCTTTTCGACGACAACAGCTGAACGAAAAGCCACAGCTTTACGTTGTTCTCTTGCGTCTATTCCAAAATGTGTGTTAAACAAGCGCTTACTAATAAATGTTTGCTAAAAGAGGAATCGGCAAAATAAAGCGGCACTTGATGTAAATTTAGAAAAGCACACCTATGAGCTGTTTCAATCAGTGTCGGCTCATATGCTGACACCATTAAATCTAAGTGTCGCGTTCCTAAACACCTCATTAACAAAATTCCGAATTCAAGCGAGGCCCATTTGCGCCTAAATGAAGACCATACGACAAGTAACAGACCGACTTTAATGTTTTCTATGACTGCGAACATTGCTTTTAATTTATTGAGCACTTGACGAATCACTATTTGGTCGCGGTTGGTTTTTTGGATCCGCTATGTGTTTGGATGCAATCTGGTCGAATTCAGCACAGTTTTTTGCTATTTTGTTTTGCTGTTTGTTTTTTCATTGCCCACAACGTTTCGCTCACAATTGCCACAAGCTATCTCAGAAGCAATGAATACACTTGCTGAAATTCAGCGGTTTTCTACAAGAAAATTATCAATATATATTTATTTATCGAACACTCAGTATACAGAACGATTGAAAATTTGCGTCGTTTTTTGTATGCGCTTCTTGAGTATGTTCTTCAAAAGTTAAAATATACAGGGTGGCCCTTAAGCACAATATCAAAAGGAAACTGCGACTATAATTGCGTCAAAAGAAGACGAGCTGACCTCGAGACGACGACTGACAAGAGAAATGACTAGCTCCGCTGCTATTGATTGGCAAAGTTCTTCAAAAAAATGTGTTTTTTGAGATATCTGGAGAATGTTTTGATGGATTTTAACGAAATTCGTTGTGAATTTGTTCTGCAACTTACAAGTGGTGAATTCTTCGCTTTCGTACAAAAACTGTCAGTACTTTTTACTAGGCGGCTGGAATTATTTGATTTTTTTTGAGTTGATGCAGTCACACTTTGTTTGTCTTTAGAAAATCTTGTAGCATTCATATCCTTTGCACAAATAATGGTTTATGTTTCCTTGCTATTTAAAACATTTTAGACATTAAATGCAAACAGAAATAATTTTTTGTGCTAAAACTACGCACGCTACATAATTTTACAAAGAGAACAAAAATGTCAACAGGGGATTAGCAGATCAATTCAAAAAAAATCGGTTGCTTCCAGCGGCCAAATAAAAAGTTCTGGTAGTTTTTGTAGCAAGGCACTCAAGAATTCCTCACGTGCCCACAGCGGATGAACTCGGTTGATGATGCAAAACTAAATAATTGTGAAAAATTAAATTAAAGGCCAAAATCCTATGACAAATTAACAGTGCGATATTTTTTTTTTGATTAACAGAAAATTCGACTGTTGTCGAATACATAAGTTTCATTAAGACCGGAAAGTCCAAAAAAAGCCTGATTTCCACTAAACGTTGCCGCTCCCTATTCAAAAAATCATATCTTCAAGAATTTTGAAGTTAGGTAACTGAAACTCTGCGCGTTTATGAACAGGGGATTGCGCTATTATTGTGGAAAATTTTCTGAAAAAATTTGAAAGTCCGTTGATTTTCTAGAAATTTCAAAACTTGACGCTAAAACGCACCTTCACTCAACGTTGCCTTTCTATTAAAAATGCATAACGCTTCAAATCGGAAAGAGACAAACTAAAACTTTGCGCGTTTGCGTTAATTTACAACGTATTTGGCTGTTAACGAGGAAAATTTCAACAAAATCCGAAGGTTTCGTGATTTTCTTTAAATTTATAAACTTGCCGCTAAGAAGGGATGGGCCACTCGACGTTGCCGCTCCTTATTAAGAAAAATTATAACTTCAAAAGGTGCGAACCTAAAAAAGCGAAACTTTGTGTGTTCGCTAGCAAGGTATTGAGCTGTTAATATGGAAAATTTTGTTGAAATCTTAAAATCCGCAAACTTTATAGAAATTTCCAAACATGACGCTTAAAAATTACCTTTTTTATACCAAATTTATTTATACAGCGTACCTGTGTAATTTTGCAAAATCCTTAATTGAAGACCAACCCTTAATTGAAGACCATTATAAATTGACAGTCTTGGGGTAACAAGCACAGAAGCAATAGAAGTACAATAGAAAATCCTAAAACACTTGTTACGGGACCAATTTAAGCCTTAAACCTTTACTGTATGTAAAATGTAAAAACACCCATTCGAGAACACAGTCAACTTGCCAGTTTTCCATTATCACAAAAATAAGCCTTCGTTAATGAAACTTTCTAATATTAGATTGAGTGGTTTGAACCTCTTAGACTCGCAGTTAATATTAATGGGCGACATATCGTTTCTCCAACTTTTATCTTCATTTGTGGGAACATCAAAACATTTTGTACGTATTTTTATCTTATGCGCTTGTTTTACATTGAAAACGCTCTTATTTTATTAGTTGATAAAGCTCGTTTCGTTCGGTGGTTTTATTAGAGTTTTACGGCTTATTTCGATGGCTTAATAGGTGGATTTTGGATTGTTTGCAGCTTGTTAATGGGGGAAATTATTTCAACATGTCGGTCGCGTTGACAGAGCCGAAGTGAATTATAACCAGACAACCAAACCATAAAACCCACATAACGCCCATAAATATGGGAACGTTTCCTTTGCAACCCTGACTTCCTGATAGCGTCCGGGATGATTGATCGTCAACAAGTGTCCTAGAATTTCTGCTATTTAATAAGATGATTTAAAGGGATTTGGCACAGCATTTTACCTGTTCAAGATTATCTTTCCGGTATGAATTATAAGCGGAGAAAAAGCTGACATTTTTTCGAAAACGAACAGTATACGCACGATGACCGTCAGGTTTATTGGCAGTTACTGGGGACGTCCAGCGGGGTTCGATAATCATCTTTTTTCGTTAACAAACTGTTTTATAGCCTTTAAAATAAAGGGAATCACGAAATATATTGTTGCATGTAGATGTCGCACGTCACATTTGTCATTTAATGGGCGCCAGCACGGTCTCAACCTTTCTTGGGAATCGTAGAAATATTTCGGGCGTTTTGCCCTCAGTCTACCATACCTATATATTTTATTTAAAAATAAATGCCGTGGTTTTTCGTACTGATTTTTACTGGTTTGATGTAAAGACACTTGAGGATTTTCGGATTATTGCCGCTCCGGCTGCGAACAACTTCCTAAAAAGCTGATTATTTCCAATTTTCTGTCGGCGACAGCTTAATAACCCGAATATTCTCAGTTGTTTAAAAGAAACGCCGCAAAAGCCTTAATGAGTTTTTCCCATTGTTTCAGGTGTTGAAATATTGCGATAACCTGCATGGAAAGTGGTACTTCTCCGAAGTGCGTGCAATATTCTCCCGACGGTATCTGCTGCAGAACAATGCCGTGGAAATATTCCTGGCCAGCCGAAGTGAGTGGAAACTGTTAATTCCAGAGCCAATTTACCAATTTTTGGATTAATTTGCGTGAAAACACACAGCTAAGTTTCACAAGGGCAACCTTCTGGTAATGGTGTTTTTTTGTAACAAATTTTAGCATCGATTATGTTCGCTTTTCCGGACCAAAACACGGTGAAAAAGGTGATTAAGGCTCTTCCGCGAGTCGGAGTGGGCATCAAGTATGGCATTCCGCAAACGCGGAAGGCCAGTATGATGTCCCCCAGGCAGCTGATGAGGAACTCCAACATGACGCAAAAGTGGCAGCGACGCGAAATTTCCAACTTTGAGTATCTGATGTTCCTCAATACCATTGCAGGTGAGTGGAGGGAAATTTTTCGGTGATTTTAGCCATGTGCCGGTTACCAGTCACCCCTTCTGGAAGCTTTAAAAATAACCCAAACATGAACATGTCAAGGGACGAAATCCTCTTCGTGATGCCGGATAAAGATGTCAGGACGAATTAGGCGCCACCTTATTCACGTGCGCATTTCGGCTCGGATTAGTTCCCCCTAAAGGGAATCGGGAACAAATGGAAAAAGTTGCATTCGAAGCCCTCAGTAGGGTGACTTTATGAGAATTATATTTTCCCTATTTGTGAGCGCCAGAAAATTCAGCGCTGTTTTTTTGGAAAAAACTTCTGAAACTTTCGGCTGTTCATGTAGAAAATTTTATTAAAATCTAAAGGTCTGTTGATTTTCTGGAAATTTCCAAACTTGGGGCTTAAAAGCGATTTCCACTCATCGTTGCCGCACTGTTAAAAAATTCATTCCTCTGCAAATTGTATTGACCTAAAACTGGAACTTTGCGGGTTAATTGGCAAAGTATTTAGCTGCTGATGTGGAAAATCTCGATAAAATCTCTTGACTTTATAAATATACAAACTTGTCGGGGAAAAACGATGTGCCGCTCGACGTTGCCGGTCTTTAATAAAAAATTCATAACACCAAAACTCCTGAGAACTCACACAATTGAAACTTGGGGCGTTGATTAGCCGAGTATTTGGCTCTTGACGCAGAAAACATAATTAAAATCGGAAAGTCCCTTGATTTTTGAAATTTTAATACTTGACGCTAAAACGCACCTTCGCTCAACGTTGCAGCATTGTTCAAAAATTCATAACTCTTAAAATCGGAACGACACAAAACTGAAACCCGATTTTCCCGATAAGTTACTAAAGTGTTTGGCTGTTACTGCAAAAATTTTCATTAAAATCTGAAATTCTCGTGATTTTCTGCAAATGTACAAACTTGCTGCTAAAAAGCCATGTGCTACTCGACGTTACCGCTCCTTATGAAAAATTGAAACCTCAACAATTGGAGATCTTAGAGAACCGAAGCTTAGCGATTTAACCAATAAGGCATTTGGCTGTTAATGTGGAAAATTTGATTAGAATCTGGAAGTCGGTTGATTATCTAGAAATGTCAAAACGTGACTGTGAAAAGCATCAGCTTCACTCAACGTTGCCCCACTATAAAAAATGCATAACTCTTCAAAGCGGAAAGATACAAAACTAAAACTCTGCTAATCTCTAATTTACAAGGTATTTCGCTGCTGATGAGGAAAATTTCAATAAAATCTGAAAGTCACTTGATTTTATTTAAATTTATGAAATTGCCGTTAAGAAGCGATGAGCCACTCGAAGTTGTCGCTCCCTATTAAAAAAATCATAACTTCAAAACTGGAGAATTTACCGAATTTAAACTTTGCGCGTTGGTTGGGAGAGTATTTGTTGAGTGAAAAATTCAATAAAATCTCAAAGTCCGTTGATTTTCTGGAAATGTCGAAACTTGACGCCTAAAAGCGATTTCCACTCAACGTTGCAGCACTATTAAAAAATTCATAACTCGTCAAATCGGAAAGACACAAAGCTAAAACTTTTCCCAATAATTGAGAAGGTATCTGGCTGTTGCTGTAGATATTTCTGTTAAAATCTAAAGAGGCATTAAGTTTCTATAAATTTACAAACTTGCTGCTAAAAAACGATGTACTACTCGACGTCATCGCTCCTTATAAAAAAATGCATAAATCCACCGTTGAGCACGTAAACAAATGCAACTATGTGCGCTGATGAAACAACGATTTGGCTGTTAATGTAGGAAGTTTTATTAAAATATGATAGTGATGTGATAGTCGTTGATTTTCTAGAAATTTTCAAACTTGGGCTTAATAGCCATTTCTACTCAACGTTGCCGCACTATTAAAAAATTCATAACTCTGCAAATCATACTGAGACCAAATGGAAAATTTTCCCGATAATTGGCAAAGCATTTGGCTCTTCTCATGGAGAGTTTCATTGAAATCTGAAAACTTCACAATTTACTATAAATTTACGAACTGGCTGCTAAAAAGCGATGTGATATTCGAGGTTACAGCTCCTTACCTGAAAAAATTAATGACTCCACAATTGGAGATTAGCTAGAGATAAAGACAGCTTGCGTGCAGGTTAACAGAGAATTTTACTGATAATATGGAAAATTTCATTAAGGCGTGTGGAAATTCCTAAACCCCTAAAAGTTTTACTCCACTCAACGTTGCCGCTCCCTATTAAAACATTTATAGCTTCCAGAATAGACAAGGTATTTGCCTGTTAATGTGAAAAATTTAATTACAATCTGAATTATTAATTACGTCGGATGATTTTCTAGAAATTTCAAAACTGACGCTCAGACGCGGTTTCCACCCAAAGTTGTCACACTATTAAAAAATACATAACTCTTCAAATCAGCGAACGACAAAACTGAAACTTTGCGCATTAATTCGCAAGCTATCAGGCTCTTAATCTTCGAAATTTGATGAAAATGTAAATATCGGTTGATTTTCTAGAAATTTGTAAACTTTCCGCTAAGAAGCGATGAGCTACTCGACTTTGTCGCCTCAGATTAAATTTTTTTTAACTCCAACAATTGAGCTTTTTGAGAAATTTCCAAACTTGACGCTTAGAAATGCGCCTTTTTATACCAACTTTATTTATTTAGAGTGGACTTGTACGATTAAATTTGGTAAAAAAATTAGAAATTAGAAACAAAAATTGACTTGCCCGAGCGCTTTTCCACGAAAACAATCCGCAGAATTTCGACATTACTTCTAGGACTTTCTGTATGATGTTTATTATTATTTTTACTGTTTTTTTATTCGTCTCTGTTTCCCACACACACTTTTCAATTTCTCAGTGTTTAAATATTAAGGCCGCTAGCCAAGCCGGCGACGTAATTCAACCTAACTACTCAATTAATTATCGCCGATGCTTTTAGAACTTAATTATTTACAGCCTAAATACGTTTTGAGGGCTTTTTATTTGAAAACCTGTATATCTTCGGCATTAAAAGGCTAATGGGGGGAAGAAGGTAAAGGCGGCGGGTCTGCTTTTAGTCGACGCCGTTGAAAGGATGCCTATTTGTCTCCTGAGGCATAACATCGTTTTTACAACCATAATATAACACTGGAGAATTATTGGATAACCCGTTCTAATGGCAGGCGCATTCGTTCTCAACATGTTTAACTAGTGTGAATAAATATCTGCTATAATTACAGTTAGGAAGTGGGTAAAGATGGGAAATTATTACAAAGTTGGAGAGTCATTTCGGTTTTTGCGCTAAAAACTTATGGAAATTTGGCAATGAACACACAGCCTTTCCGCAATCAATTTATAATGTATCCGGCTGAGGCCCTGATGATGAGTAGTTTAAACACTCGAAACATGTTCCACTTTTGACAGCCTTGTATTAAATTGCTGGCGTTTTTAGTGGAACTCAAAGCAACTGGACTTGAAGTTATTTGGATTTTTCCAACCTTCTTCTAGCAAAAGAACTTTCTTCGCTTGTTCTGGTGTTTCACCAAAAGAAACTCATGGAAGTTCGAGTTAACTTTTCTTTGCCAAGCTTCTTTCCATAACTCCACTGAAAAAATACATACATGGTTTTCAATTTTGGGCTGATTTCGAAATTAAAATTGCAAGTCCTCGAAAATAGACGTCGAAATCGAAACTGTTGCGTTCGTATATAAGTTTGCTGGCGGATGGTTTTACGGGGCGCGTATTTTCGATTTCACATGCTGTAAATAGATCGGTTACATTCACACAACATGACATATAAGTTTTTAATTGAAAACCGGCCTCTGTGACAGCCGCTAATTTTGCATGGGACGTTTTTTTTGAGTTCCTGTACGCGAGCTGAATTTATGCCCCGTCGACACGCGCTCAAATTATTTCCTCCTTACCGAGAAAACGGCGCGCCGCTTTTTAATTTCACTCTAATTGGACGGGACCAGCATATTTCCGAATGCGTTTAATCTCTTTGGTTTCGTTTTTCTTTGCCCTTTTCTTCTCCCCCTGGTCTTAATTAAAAGCGATACGCAAATTTCAGAGGTTTGACGTCTTCATTCCCATCCGACGCCGTTAGGCTCTTGAACCGTCTACGATTCTACTTCCTCTATCGAAAAACCAACAAAGTTGATTTTCTGATTCTACGTGCTTCTGTTTCTTCGATTCTGTCTTCATTCTAGCTCTATCTATCGAATGAAGACCTTCTAGTTTCGAGCAAGAAATACGTTTTTCTATCGGCCATCATCTGCAATATATTCAATGTTGTCTTCTTGTGTCGGTTTCTCATGTACTGTTTTTATTGTTTTGTCGATTTTCAGATTTTATTTTCTGCTGCTTTTCAATTGGTCTCTAAATTTCAGAATTTTTTTAGCCTCATTTCCATCAAAATCACTGTCCTATACTGGGTGTTTCACTAATGGGCCTGAAAATTTAGGAGGCAAATTTTTATTACTAACGGGGCCATAGGAAAATCTTGCAAATAATGTTATGAAAAGTTCTGCAATCCACCGCAAGGGGGCGCGATTGAAAAGTCGATAATAAAACCCAATTTTCGCCGAAAATTTCCAAATGAAGCTGTACTTTTAGTAACGTCGTTAGAAAGCTGGGCAAATTTTGCATCAATTTGATTTAAGGCTCGTTGACGTTCCGAGCTTGGTAAGTGTGGGGAAAGCCATTGAAAATCTAACTATTGAAATCGGCATAACTTCTAAACTATTTTTTGGGTTATACTCATTTTAAACCGTCGTGGAAGAGAAATGTTAGTACTTGTGACTACCATATAGAGCGGAACCCAACCGGGGTAAGCAATTTTGCTAGGGGGCGCAGTGTGTGACAATAACAGTTTTTTCGGTTTTAGGCGAGTTTTTTTAATTTAGTTTTAACCGGTTTTGCTAGGCAATTTTATTCGCCTTTTGCCTAAGCTGTCATCATTATGCCCTGCTATTTAAGTTTTCCAGGTGAAACTAAAAAAACTGTTATTGTGACAATTGGCGCCCTCTAGTAATGTTGTTTGCAACTAGCGGGCACTATGATATATTCGTGTGAACAATACTAACATTTCTCTTCTACAGACGCTGAAAATTACCAAAATTGAACTAGTGGTTTAGAAGTTACAGCGATTTTAAGGTTTTAGCTTTCATTGAGCTCCCCTACTCTTATCAAGGCAGCTACACCAATAAGCCCCACCAACCAAAATGACGCCCAACTGTCAAAGCTGTCTAATGGCGATAGTAAATGTATACCTCAATTTGGGAATTTTCCGGAAAAATTGAGTTTTTAATATTTACCTTTCAATTGCGCCCCCCTACGGTGAATTGCGGAACTTAAAAATTACCTTCAGGATTTTCCTATAGGCTCTTTGGTAATGAAAAATTTTGCCCCAAATTTCCTCGTCCAGTACTTTCCGACATTTGGTTGGTGGCCGCCTTGAGTTTCTGCCAATATGCATTAAATCGCTGTGGGAAATTAACGTGAAGTACGACCAAAAATATTAAAACTGTTTTCCAAATTAAAAAAACAGAGGACGATTTTTTGACTTCGAAAAAACTCATTAGTTGGGACGCTCTGTATAATTGCCAGAACCACCAACTGCAGTTCCGAATGAATATTTGCTAAACTGGTTGTTTTGTTGTTGTTCAGGGAGAACCTACAACGACCTCAACCAGTACCCCGTCTTTCCATGGGTGATAACCAACTATGACTCCAAGGAAATGGACCTGAGCCAACCGAGCAACTACCGCGACCTCTCGAAACCGATAGGAGCCCTAAACCCTAGCAGACGCGCCTATTTTGAGGAGAGATATTCGTCGTGGGAGCACGAAACTATCCAACCATTCCACTATGGAACTCACTACTCCACTTCAGCCTTTGTATTTAACTGGCTGATTCGAATGGTATGTTGTTCAAGAAAAACACTAAACCAGAGAAACTGGGAATTTTGTTTTCCAGGAACCATTTACAACGATGTTCCTGGCATTGCAAGGTGGCAAGTTTGACTACCCCAACCGTTTATTCTCCTCCATTGCGCTGTCATGGAAAAATTGCCAAAGAGACACCTCGGACGTGAAGGAATTGATCCCGGAGTTCTATTTCCTGCCGGAAATGTTCGTGAACTACAACCGATACCGGCTGGGAGTCAATGAGGATGGTCGGGCCATTAGCGATGTGGAGCTGCCTCCATGGGCGAACACTCCGGAAGAGTTCGTCCGAATCAACCGAATGGCTCTTGAATCGGAGTTCGTTTCGTGCCAGTTGCATCAGTGGATCGACTTGATATTCGGCTACAAGCAGAAGGGCCCTGAAGCTGTTAGGGCGACCAACTGTTTTTACTACTTGACCTATGAGGGCAGTGTGGATTTGGATTCCATCCAGGACAAAGTGATGCGCGAAGCTGTGGAGAATCAGATTAGAAACTTTGGGCAAACACCGTCGCAGTTACTAATGGAGCCCCATCCTCCTAGAAGTTCCGCTATGCATCTAGTACGTGTCTTTTTGGGTCAGTTTTTAAATTCCTCATTAAAATATACAATTTTTTTCAGTCGCCGATGATGTTTTCCACTATACCCGACGATGTCTGCATGACGATGAAATTTTTATCGAACAGCCCAATTGTTCACATTTCGGCCAACACTTATCCTCAGCTGCCCAATCCCTCAGTGGTAACCGTTTCAATGCATCAGCAATTCGCAGTTAATAAATGGAACTCAGCTTACGCAGCTGTAGCTCAGTCGCCCAGCTATGCGGAAACCCCCAAAGATCAAATCGCCAATCTGCCTCTTTCCATGGATCCAGTTCTGTGTAAGTTGGAATGTAAGCTACCACCTCACTTTCTATCTTCTTATGGTCGTTTGTTTCTTTGCTTCAATAGGTTTGCACGATTTTTGGTTCATTTATCAACAGTTTTTCATGTTTTTATCTATGTTTTTTTGCTTTGTTCGCTATGGAAATTTGAAGCTTTATGCTGAAAATTGAACGATGAGAAAGATGATCATTGATGATTTCAAGCAAAATGCATGACAACCGAAGTGGAGCAAAATTTTCAAAAATCTGCGCAAAAATTGTTAATTAAAAAGCTCCTTTCGAAAAGTTGCGATCAAAATTAAGGCCTTAATGAGTTTAGTGAACCTTCAGCAAAAGAATGAATTCTGAACTTCCACTCGATGATCTTCACCTACTGCCTTTCTTCATAGTTGGCATTTCAATGTTTATTCAATATCTCAGCTTTGAGCAAAATAATCAACATTTCACAGTCTTTTGCATTTTCTTTAATTCTGTTTCAGCTTTAACCAACAACAGTAACCAACAGAACCAAATGCTGCGACGCAACCTGGGCGACAATTTCAGCCAGAACCTGAAAATCCGTGCAAACTGTTTCGTCACCACTGTGGATTCAAAGTTTCTGATCGCCTGCGGGTTTTGGGACAACAGTTTCCGAGTTTTTTCCACCGAAAGTGCGAAAATCGTTCAGATCATCTTTGGTCACTATGGAGTGGTGACGTGCTTGTCCAGATCCGAATGCAACATCACTTCGGACTGTTACATTGCGTCGGGTTCTGCGGATTGTACGGTTCTGTTGTGGCACTGGAACGCCCGAACCCAAACCATAGTAGGAGAAGGCGAGGTGCCGACACCAAGAGCCACATTGACTGGACATGAACAGCCAGTTTCAAGTGTGGTGATTTCCGCTGAATTGGGCCTGGTAGTTTCAGGATCTTACAGTGAGTTTTGGATGTTGCTCTTTTGAAGCAGAGTGAGAACTTTGTGATGTTTCAGATGGACCAGTGCTGGTTCACACGACTTTTGGTGACTTGCTGAGATCTCTGGATCCTCCAAACGGGTTCAATTCCCCAGCGAACATTGCCATGTCCCGTGAGGGTGTTATTGTGGTAAATTATGAAAAGGGCAACGTGGCTTCGTTCACCATTAACGGGAAACGCCTGCGGCATGAGTCCCACAACGATAATCTGCAGGTGAAATTGACTATTTGGTGAAAAATTGAGGTCTTCAAATGCGCTTGTTTTTGCAGTGTTTGCTGTTGAGTCGCGATGGGGAGTACTTGATGACCGGAGGCGATAAAGGCATAGTGGAAGTCTGGCGCACTTTCAACTTGGCACTACTTTATGCATTCCCAGCATGTGATAGTAGCATAAGATCTCTTGCTTTGTCTCATGATCAAAAGTAAGTTTATTTTTCATTTTTTCAACTATTGGTTTTATATTTTTTTTTCACTGCGACATTAAAAAAATATAATCAGAGAAATGTTCGATTTTTCGAAAAGTCTCATGCATTATTTACACTGAAAAAAGGGGTTTGAACGCGATGCTGATTTCCAGATTGGAGATTAAATTTTCTTTCGATTTTTCACCCGTTGGATCGAAAGCCTCAACTTTGAGAGCTTCTGCAAAATCAGTCTAAGTGTCAATTTTATTTAAATTTGACTCAACAGAAGCTTCGTTTATTGTTTACAATATTCTAAAGTTTCAATATTCTACGAAAGTCACATTTGGACTTGCGCGATGTTATACCCGTCGAAAGAGCATCCTCAATTTTGAGTGCTTCTTAAAGATCAGTCTATTCTCTAATTTTATTAAAATTTGACGCGAAGTAAGCTTCGTCCATAGCTTACACTGAGCTAAAGTTTCAACTCTCTATTCAAGTTGAATTTAGAGTTGCAATCACGGCGCTGCCCATTTCCAGATTAGAGACAGAGTTCTTCAATTAGATTTGCTCTGTTTTACACCCGTTCTATCAGTTAACTTTGAGAGCTTCTCAAAAATAACTCTAAGTCTGGATTTTATTCAAATTTAAACCAAAAGGAGTTTTATTCATTGTTTACATTATCCTAAAATTGCAGTTTTCTATTCAGATCACATTTGAAGTTGCAATTTTTTTAGTAGGCTGTTGCGATTTTGCAACAGTCGAATTTTGAGAGGCATTTTTGGTAGCCCCAATTTGAGAGGTTCTAAGAAATCAGTCTATACTCTGATTTCACTCAATTTTCACAGCAGCTTCACTGGGCAAAAATTTCAAGTTTTTATTCCTGGTGATTTTAGAATTACAATTTTTTGCAGTCTTGCGTTTTTTAACCGTCGAATCAACAGCATCAAGTTTGAGTGTTTCTGAAAAATCAAGCTTAGCACGTATATTRCTGAAATTTGCACTGTGCAGAGTTTCCTTGATTATTTACACTGAGAAAAAGTTTCAACGCGCTTCTTATTTCCTGGATTAAAAATTGAATTTTGAAAAATTACTTGTGCGCAATTTTAACAGCGTTGTATCAGTAGCGTAAACTTTGGGAGCTTTTGAAAATTAAATCCAACTTTTATTTTATGTTCCACCGATCCAGTCGAATTTTGAGAGGCATTTTTGGTAGCCTCAATTTGAGAAGTTCACGAAAATCAGTCTATACGCTGATTTTACTCAATTTTCACAGGCGGGAAGCTTCATCTATGGCTTTTACCGGGCAAAAGTTTCAAGTTTTTATTCCTGGTGACTTTAGAATTACAATTTTTTGCAGTCTTGCGTTTTTTAACCGTCGAATCAACAGCATCAAGTTTGAGTGTTTCTGAAAAATCAAGCTTAGCACGTATATT